GGGCAGAGGTGGGAGGAGGGACGGGGCAGAGGACGGGGGAAGGGGGCAGAGGTGGGAGCAGAAGGGGGGAGGGGCAGGGGCAGAGGAGGGAGGATGAATGAAGAAGCCGTAATGGGCTCGCCAGGCCTGCACTATAGCTGCCCCCTCCAATGTAGTGACCCCAAAGGCTCTGTTCAGGAGCGAGTCCTTGATGTGCTGGGCTAGGCCGATCACACATCCTCAACGCTATTTCGGCTCCTGAATTCCTGGAGGCTACAGCTGCTGGCGCGATCCCTCAGTGCAGCTGGAGTGTTATTTTGCAGCGTGTCTGCTCTCAAGATAGGCATAGGCCATATGTCAAAAGTGAAGCAGACCAGCCATGTTGCTCAGGGGTGTGAAAAATCCACCCATCCGGGAACAATGGAGCCAAGCCAAGGTAGCCCCTAGTGTAGACAACACAAGGCTATGTCCCTGAATTAAGTGGTCTCATTGGCGAACGCATTCTTCTGACTTAGCTGCATCTATGTCTGCAGAGCAGCTGTGCTGAGAGGTGTCACTTTTTCACCCCCCTAACCGTTGTAGCTACGTCAATCTAACTTTTAAACATAGTCCAGGCCTCTGGGGGGGCTTTGTTGCTGTAACTACATCAGGTAAGTTGAAACACGCTGGTTTTCCTGTGAGAGAGCTAGAGGGGTCTTGTTGATAGAGAGGTGGAGTTTACCAGCCAGTGTGATGTGAGACTTAGGGTTTGTTAAAATTAGCTGAACCGTTCTCTCCGCTGCATGTTTGCATTTGCCAGCAGATCTCAGCGGAGATCAGGACCCGTTGCGCCAGGTGCTGTACAGACACATAAGCCTCATTCGCTTAGGGTCTAAAGTGGGGTGTTGGTATGTTTTAACTAAGCCCTGATGTTTACATGGTTTTTATATCGGTGTGAGCGTGTTGGTTCAGGCTATGATTTTGTTACCAAGAATGTCAGTACAACCCTTAGTGGGGCTTTCTACTGGGGAGTGTTCCCTGTCAGCTGAGCACTTTGGTGGCCGTGCAGGAGAGACTGAAATTATGCCCAGCTGATTAGCAGAGCCCCCCCAGCCAGCCATATGTGTTTCTATTGGTGGTGCACATCCACATGCACCTCAGTGCATATAACAAAATTTTTTCCACTCCCGCATGAAAAAAAAAATAGGGGGCACATTGATCCAGGTGTGGCTTATTTTGCGCCCCACACTGAAATCAGCAGACAAATCATACACCGATATACGATGCCAACTTTCTGGTGTAGATGAGCCCTTGAAAATCACCTGTCTCTTCACTGGATCGTTCTCTGATTGTAGGGCGTGTGATGCCTTTAAGCAAGTTGAACTGGTTTTTAACTGGTTTTCTGCAGGGGGAATTTCCTTGGGTTCTGAAGCTGTATGTAGGCAGTATATGGAA